CTATAAGCCAACATGTTTAACCCCTGTTTCATATCAAACAAATTTTCTTCAAACACCAAATTATAAAAGAATAAACTGACTCAATTTTTCAAAATACCATTAATATTTCTACAGGTTGCAAATATTTCTGGTTTAGTAAAAAGTTTTACCTAATGTATAAACAGACCAAAGAGCAATGTAATAACACATTTGGACTCAGGAAAATAAAAAAAAAATCTAAATTATTTTTTGCTCTATTTCTACACACTCCTGTTTGTATTCCTTTCCAGATACCACAAAAATGTGGACTCGAATGTGAAGATATTCAGGGATCTTCTTTTTCAACCTCAGATAATTATGATTATGAAAACTAGCCAAATCCCAAGTATATAATTCATCAGGTAAAGCTTCTAATACCCTTCTGTTAAAAAATGACATTTGTATACAAATTTGTAAAAGATCTCTAAGAATAACCCATAGGTACAATCACTGAGCTTTTAATTTGAGAAACTTATTACCTAAAAGCAATAAAGGGACACTTAGGGAGAAAAAAATCAGGCTTGAAAATAAGATAGTTCTCTATCAAAAATAATGTATTAAAATGTTAAAAAAAAACACCTACGTAAAACATTTCTCATGATATTCTCAAATGAATGAATGTCATTGGGCAATTTTTTGTTTTTTAATTGTCTTAAAGCACAGACACTTTTTCTTATGAGATTTTTACACATCATTAGACCTTGAAGCAAACTTTCAATGCAGTATAAAGAGCAACTCTTGTTCTTTCTCAAAGAAAATTACACAAGTTTTCAAACAGTTGCATATAGCAAACAGAACAACTGACTATGAAAATTGGGTTGGAGCAGATTTTGAATATTTTTTAATAGACACAGTTGCAGAGGAGGACAAAACAGATGGGGAAGGCAGAATGCAATGTTTACCAAGTAGTCAAGTATGCATTTAAGAAGGTTCTTAATTGTTTACTCAATAGTGGACTAACCATAAAAGCTGTTATAGGGTTAGAAGAGCAAAGGGGGGCTGTCTGTGGAGAAAATAAAGAACAGGCAGAAAGGCTATGAAAGAAAAGTCCTACTTCAAGAAAAGCCTGAGTTAAAGAGATCTAGAGAGACTAGTGAATGAATTGAAAGCCTGAGAAATCAAGGAGACAGGATTGCAAAAGAAATGCCTTTGCAAATTATACACAGCTGGGAGTGTGACAGATTAATACAAAAGGATTGAATGAGTTTTAAATTGCTAAAATTTGGGAAGTAAAAAGTATACATATTTACTATTAGACAATATACAAATGATTCAGTAAGAATTATCATGTGTGCTTTCAATTTGAAAATTCTAATGCTTTCTCAAGTGAATTTTAGAACTGCTGAGGTGTTTAATTTGCTCACCATGGAAGGAAAAGGGGAGATACACAAATTTGCACTGGAAATCTGTAGGACTGAGCACATTTTATGAGCATGGCCTGTTCTTTCTGTCAAGAATGTCTACAAAATAGGCACCAGCTATGAGAATGATTTCTCTATTGCAGAATTTTATCAGATTGGATCTAGATTAATAGACAATTCATTAACAAAAGCTTCTAAAGAAGTCTTTTCTCTGGTTGTAAACTCAAATCAAAATCCATAAAGGCAAATTTAAAGCACTTCAGAGGGAGGTATAGAATATTTTGAGTGTATTTTTCCATAGTCAAAAAGACAATTCACAACTATGAAATAAAATCATTAGAATTTCACTTTTTCCAAAGTGAACAAAAGCAGAAACAAGGCAACTGGACCCATTTTACTACATTTCATCTAGGATTTCCCAAACCCCAGAAAGAAAAACTAGCTCCATTCTAGGTATGCATTATTTTCTTAGTTCCTTACTTATCAAGAATAATCACCAGGAAAGTCTACAATGATGGCTTCTATATAAACTATAGTAGAATTCATCACCAGTAATTTGTAGTCTTTGAAACTGCTAAGAGCTGCTGTCATTCTCTTATTTGTTAAACTCTAAAACTTGTCCTTCTTTTTCATCCTCAAGCCTTCCTTTTCTATCTTCTATTTCTATTCTCTCATACCCTTCTCTTTACGACTGCCACACTTCTATTTCCAAATTCTGACACCAGAAATGGTATTTTAAAGATTGGGGGGAGGAGGAGAAAACATTTTCAATGGTTCCTTTCTACTGGTTCTCACCTCACAGTTTATTCTCAGGCGCACACACTTTGAGGTGCATGCTATGTCATTTGGAAGAGTTCATGCTCTAGCCTCTCCTGCCACCTCTAGTGATGAGAACCTATCTCCAGGGCCCTCCCTGGTGGCACAATGATTTAGGATGCAGCACTGCAAGCTAGTCACAGCCTCTTCAGTGTGAGTTCGATCCCCATCCTGGTAGTGACCCACATGGTGCAGCAGACCTATCCTGTCTCGTTCACTGCTCCACTGTTTCCCTCAGCAGTGTATTTTGTCGATCTGCCTGTTTTGTTTTCCACTCTGCTTCTGGTGAATCCTCTCTCCACCCCTGTACCTCTGGCCTATACCACAGTTCTGTATGCATAAATAAATAAATCTTAAAAAAAAACAGATCTCTAAATCCCACCCATTTTTCAAGATCCACCTCAGTCTTCCAAAATGCAGACCAAATTGTTCAGGTGGCAGTGCTCCCTCCATTCCTTAGCCCCTTCATAATCTGCAGGAAACTCTTAAATCACACATTATCAATGAACAATTTTTTTTTTTAAATATAAGCACCAAACAAGGTGGAGTTGATTTACTAGTAGTGTGATCTTAAATCTGAGTTTTCTCAACTACAAAATACATACATTGGCACTATTGCTCATAGGTTTGTTAAGAGTATTAGATGAGGGCCCTCCCTGGTGGCTCAGCGGGTTAAAGCACAGCACTGAGAAGCTTAAGCCACTTCCGTATGAGTTCGATTCCCACCTGCCCTGGAGGTGACCACATAGTGTGGCAGACCTCTCCTGGCCCGCTCGCTGCTCCCCTCAGCAGTGTACTTTGTTGATCTGCCTGTTCTGCTCCCCGTTCTGCATCTGGTGAATCCTTTCACCCTCCGCATCTCTGGCCTGTACCCTAGTTCTATATGAATAAAAAAGAGTATTAGATGAGGTGATTCACACAAATGTCTAGTACAGAATGAACATTCAATACATATTGGCCATTTTTATGTTGTCAGCCATCATCCTATAGCTTCGTGTGTGTATCTTAGGCACCCAGCCAAATTCTAGACTCTTCCAGGCAAAAACTATCACTACATCTCACAGATGTTTACAAATAAATCTGTGTAGAATTTATAACTGAGGCAACACTAAAAATTATAGCATGCTTGGGAAATATAAACTTTACTACCCATTTAGAAAACGTTCCATTATAGTTCAAGTGTTACTTAGTAGGTTATGATCATTTGCATATTAGACCATGAACAACTTACTCCAGAATGCACCTAAATTTACCCAATGCAGAAGTCAAATGATAGACTGCAGAGATTCTTCCTCCCCATATAGGTGTCTCACATAATCAACTGTGGGCCACCTCATGAGAAGGGACATTATTGCACCAGATTTCTAGAGTTTGTGTCAAGCAACATGCAAGTGCTATAAGGTATAATTCTCAGTTCTCTATATCATGCAACTTAAGAAAAATCCTTATTTTCAGCTTATGTAAAAGCTATAAAAGCATGTTTTATGACCAACCAAGAAGTCTATTCATTCCTACAACACAGGGCCACTCAAAGGATCTATTTTTCATCTTCACTAAGTAAGGCTATGGAAGAGCTAAATCAAAATTCCCATCACCTGAAGACTCAGCTCTTGTAAATTATTATGAAATTTCAATAATTATGAAATAACTTTCAATGAATATTTCATCCATTCATTCAAAATTACACACTGAGCAGTTAGCTATATGGCAGGGAGTTCTGGCTGCAGAGCATACAGCAGCAAATAAAATAACTGCTCTATGAGGAAGTTTGAATTCTTGTAGGAGGTCACTGGTTTTTTTAAAAAAAGTTATTATAAATTATGTGGAATGGTGCTGTGTTGTGGCAAAAATATAACAGGAGGAGAACACAGATGGAATTATGATCTTATAATGGAGGTTTTCAAGGAATGCTTCTTTGAGGAGGTAGTTAAGTTTATGTAAGTAACCAAGGGAGCAGCTTTCCTATAACAGACGGTCCAGTAGTCTTTAAGGAACTGTTTTATGTAAATATTCCAGGGGGAGGTGGATTAAAATCTCAAACCTGGATTGGACTCCAAGCTCTCTGTCTTTTACATACTCAGCAACTTTTAGCAAGACAACAATGTTACCTGTCTTGAACCTCAGTTCTTCCTCAGGAAGGATATTACATACCCCACTACCTTATTTCAAGGGAGTAGGTTATGGTTAAGAGTGCGCTTTATCGCACTAAGGGATTATTACCAAGTGCCTATGCTGAGGGCTGTCAGTTTAGGAAAGGCTCTGCTAGCTTCATACTATAACCTAATAATATACCAAATTTGGTTCTTTGTCAGATGAGGAAGATGGTACCTATCTCATGTGCTGTTATGGGAATGAAATGAGCCAAACCACGAAAATACAGCAACTGACAGAAATTCCTGAAAATACAATCGTTATCCCTATGGGGGCCGGAATTTCTAGCAGAGGCTTTGCTGCTCTGCTCAGCCCAGGGCGGAGCACTTGGAAGCTGCCCTTGAGGCCTTGTGGAATCCACTGACTACATATAAAGTGCATTCCAACCCTGCGGGCTACTTCAAAGTTTTTCCCCAGTCCACATTCATGACATTCTAGCTTGTAAGAAAACCAGATTCTTTCTTGGAAGCCGTTTTAACACATGCAGGCATTTTAAAAGGCTTTGACATTGTATGAACAAGTGGCTGTCCCCAGGAAAAAACAAAGAAAGGAAGCCTCTTCTCAGGACAAGCACCTCCTGTCAACCTTTCTAGGCAACCGGCCGCTTTTTTAAGCAACGTGATGACATCACCGTGCGTCGCGCATACGCAAAGATGGTGGCGTGACCACGCCCAGGCCTGCGCTGAGACCCAGCGACGGCAAGGTAACCGGCCGCATTAACAGATTGCGCCTTCCCGGAACACCTGAACACCCCTAGGTGAGCCAAGAACGAAAGCATTAAGGCCTGAGTGATTGGTCTGTAGGATGGCAGCACGGAAGCTTGCAGCACCGGCGGGGAGGAGCTTACAGCGGGAGAACTGGGGTGATGAGGAAAGTTCCAGAGTCCTTTGGGTCTAAGCGGGGGCTGGGCGGTCAGAAGGCTGGCGATTCCTAGACGGAGCGGATCTTTCAAAAAAGGCGAATTTGCCCTGGCGGTTGTCTGAAGTGCTGATTGCACTGAGGACTTAACAGGAAATAAGTTTCCGCGGACTAACTTTTCGCAGTTTTCTTGACACTGCACTTGAAAATGGAAGGAAACCGTTCGGATTGGCCTGCAGGGATCTTAGCTGAAAAAATCTCTAAGCTACCAGTAACTGCACCTTTTAGAAACCTGCGGGCCAGCGATTGCTGTCCACGGTGCTGAGGAAAAGACAGCGCTGACTTGGGGAGGAAAACTGATGGTGGTGACATCCCAGCTCTTTGGCTGGGATCTGTGTCCTCCACTCAGTATCGGTATACTGAACGAGGAGCTCAGCTCTCTGCCAGCACTGGACATTTAGACGCTTAGCAAGCAATCAGTGTTTAATTTCATAAAATCTAGGGTAGCTGGTGTGTTTCAATCCAGAAAGGAATTTCTCTCCTTTTTCTCCTTCAGGGCAGGCACCTTCAGCTTTGGCATTAACCAGATTGCCTTCCGACTCATTCTTCAGAAAGTTCACCAGACTTCTGTACTGTCCCAGGCTCTTCAACCAAGGTGAGCTTACTTACAGTGTAAAGTGAACCATGAAATGGATTTTCTAAAACTCCCCAAGAGAGCCTGGAGCAACCAAGGCAAGGTGAAGGGTCATAATTGTATTTTCCTGCACAAGTACTCATGAAAAATACTTTACTGTTTGGAAAAGAGTACAGAACTGGGCAGTCTTCCAATAAAGGAAAGACCATGAGTTTCCAGTTGGTTTTTATATTTGTTAGCCTTTCCGTGTGTGTTTGTGCGTGCCTGCACGTGCCTGCACATGCGTCTGGAATGTGGAAGTGTTTCCTGTGTTGAATTTTATAGAGTGGAAATTTTTTCCTGTTGATTAAATAACATGTTTACTAGTCTTTATACCAGCTGCTTATTTATTTTGAATTCCAAATAAAGTTAGCATGTGAGAAAAGAGGAGAAATGTATAATATGTTGCATTTACCTGACTCATGGCATTCCTGAATGCCCACAACATATGAGAAACTATATGCATAGTGAATAAAAATATCTTCGTGCCTTCTTTCATTTTATACATTGCTACAGCTCAGTAGATTGAGGTATTACAATGATTACATGTTGCAAAGCTGAGAACATGTGGTAGATTTAACTTTAGGTATTCTTTTTATTCAGCAGAAAGCTTATAAGGCAGCTTTGATTAAACATGACTTCCTTGGTCACTCAAGAAATTCAACTCTCTAAAAGACATGAAGAAATGTAAGTTAAAAAAAATGTTAACCTAAATATATACGATTGAACTGACGTCATTAGTAAAACTGCGTACATAGAAGACCATCTGAAAGTCTATCATTTTACTTTTCTGACATGAGAGATTTAGGAATGTCACTGTCTCTGATGACTAGATTGAAAGGTTATACACTATATTTCTAATTTTTTGTCTGTAGTAACTCCATAAATTCATTGTGTCTCTCAACCTTTCCTAGGCTCCAACTTCTCTAAGTCTCCTGTCAAGACCAGTTTCAATCAGTCACAGACCCTAAACTTGATTTAATACTATTTATATTGCCCTCTTGAAATTCCTAATGATTTTTAAATAAGGAGCTTCATATTTTCCTTTTCCCCAGGCCCTGCAAAATGATATAGCCAACCCTCCACCTGTATTTGGTATTAAACATCTCCATTCTGTGTGTGGCCTCTCACATTTTCCTTTTCTTTAATTACTAGGCCTTTTTTCTTGGTATATAAAGACACTTATATTACAAAAATGACTGTTCAAAGACCTTGGTTTGTAGTTCTACCATCAAGATAGCTTACTAAAAATAATGTTTGAGGATCCCTGTAACTATCTGGGAAATGGTGAGACTTTTATGTAAACCACTTATATATTTTGTAATCATGTGACATTTTCTTAGTAATCACCTAAGAGTATCAAAAACATGCAAAATGACCATTTGACCAGTAAGACACCTTTAAGTATAATACATGTGACAAATCCTTTTGATAATTTACTTACAACTTTTTATATCTTTCTTTACTTACTGTTATACCTTGTTGTGAATTTGAATACATACACACAGCCTTTCATTCATATATGGAACCATCATCTTTCTCTTGGAAAAAGAGGAAAAAAATATTTTTATTGCTTCTTCCAACATATGGAAGTTTAGCACAATTCTAAATGTGTAACATGCGATTCAGGGGTATTGAAGTGTTAAGCAGAAGGTTTCGTATAGCAAGTTATATCAATGTATGTGTCTGGGGAGGTATATATAAGTATGTGTACAAAGGGATATGTATTACAGTTTGCATTTTCACTAAAAATTAAAACATATTTTCAACACTAAAATAATTTCAAAGGACCAGAGAGGCTAAAAAACAGAAGTATGTACTTATGGTATATATGTTAATGAAAGTAAAAATAATTTTACCCAGATTGAAGACTTATTGAGCTACCTAAGTTTTTGACAGATTAACTGGCCTTCAAAAAAGGTTGAACTTGAAGTGAGTTGCAATTAAGAAATGACTTTTCTATATTGGTTAAATAAGATTTTTTTCTTCTTACAAACTTTATATAATCTTCATTTTTTCCCCTAGAGTAACACAAAGACTAATGTTACTTCAACAAAGGGAAAATAAATTTGGAGATCAAAACAAGAGAAGGATACAAGCAGCTGAAACAGCTTTTCAAAGGAACCTTTGTCTCTTGAAGGTAAGTTTCCAAGACTTCAGTATAGACATCTTTATCCACTCTTCCAAAGAAGTTTTTGGTGAATTTCATAATTGATTTATATATATTTTCTCTGAGTAGTAAGATCATTTATAAACAGAAGTTCCTAAACCCTACATATAAACTCATCTTAATTGAGTAAATACCCTACAGATTCTCAGGTTTTTTTAAATAAAAATTGAAGTTTGTTTAGTTTTAAATCAACTAGAGACCACAACTACAAAAGGAATTGAAGGTCACCTTTGTGTGAAAAGAAATACAAGACATAACTTTTCATCTTGTATCTTCTTTTATTTGTAATGTGATCCTAAAATATCACAAAGTACCTATAATATATTTAGCCCCAACTCAACACTGATTAACCACATACAGACTAGACCAATCTAAATTTTGCCCTAATGGGACCCCAGTCAACACATATAATTCCTACATATTGTAACAGATTTCCCAGGTCTCTCTAGCTGGTGATGGAGGAGGTGGTCAAAGTGTATGATTGCGCAGGGCCTCACCATTTGGTCAATGCGCCCATTTGTAGTAAAATCATATGTGCAACATTTTTGGCTGCTTGCTATACTTTGCTTCCAGAATTGCATGGCTTCATCCATAATTAAAACCCTAAAGTTTGCTTCCATTGAAGCTTCCAAGAGATCCTATGACTAAAACATTTGGTAGTAAGGCTATATTATTTAAGTTATAAAGAAGTGTTTTCAGTTTTTTATTGTTAAATATTTTCATCGATAAGCATGATATAGTTATCTTCTGTCCTCACTAGAGGATAAAGGAAGAGGAAAATTCAGTTATCTTCTCAGCTTCTGGCAGTTTGATCCACAGTAATTTAAGTCACAGCCATAGTGCTACCAAAGCATTCTATATTGCCATATGTCTTACTTGCCCAATGGTGTTTGCAATATTTATTTTAAAATGGAAATATATAGGATAATCTGGAATTTGCTGTGAAAAGTCAGAAAAACTAAATGAGAAGGCCTGGTTGCTACATACCTGCAGCAAATGATATGACATTTGGGTTTTCAAACAGCTTTCTTTTAATAAGCAAGTGTTTGATGAATGCCCAGAGTTCCTACTATTGAGCTAGTTATGGGCAGAAAGTAGAGATGACAAAGTAAGTATAAACCAGAGTTCCTGACCAAGAGCTCACAGCATTAGTTAATGACAGAAAATGTTCACGTGCAAAATATTTGACCTTCTGATCAAACATTGAATTAAGTGGAATACTCAGAACTATAGCAGTAAATGGCAATAAATATTTGATAGCTAGAATGTTCAAGATGACTCAGAAAAGAAGTTAAGCTCAAGTTGTGGTTGTTTAGGCAGAAGGTAAGGCATTTCATTGAATTCTTACAGAAGAGCCAAGGCCAGAAGAACAAATGTTCCTATTAAGGGTTATGGAACAGTGAGCTAACTAGCTTGGGAAGTCACAGTAAACAAGTCACAGGACCAAATAAAGAGAGACCTGATATGTAAGACACTATAGTACCACAAGTGTCTGAGCAAACAAAGGCAGACTTATATAAGAAACAGATGAGTGGGTACTAAAAAGAAACTAATTTGCTATTTAGATGCAAGGTGATCTCAAGAATAAAGAGGCTGAAGTCAAGGAGCGTAGCTAAGAAATCAGTTTCATATCTAGCAGGAAGATGTTGAACCTGGTTTCATAGTCATGCGAAAACACTGATAATGAAATACCATACCTCCTCCATCTCATCCATCTAGAATATTCTTACATATTTCTTTTCAGTTCTTTAATAGACATTTATTGAGCACCTACTACACCCCAAATACAGTGCTTACTCTTGGGGAAGTGGTCTCTTCGCTCTTTTTTTTTTTTTTTAAATAAAGATTGCTTGAATAATTGCACATGGAATTTTTCTTATCCTGCTTTCCTACATATTTTAAGGTTTGGCAATAATTTGAATGGCTCTACCATTAAAGTTATGGTGAAAGTAAAATAAAAATTTTAGCTGTGAAGGACTTTAAAAAACAGATTAGATTGAATTTTCATTTAAAATTTTTTGACATAATTTTTGTTTTCAAAGATGTAAAATATATAAAAGTGAACCCACTTTGGCTCAAAGTCCTACCCATTCAGTTTCCCTCCTTACTCTGCTGTGGCTCTAGGGAACTGTGCAAACCTTTGCTTAGAGTTAATCCCTTAATTTAGAAATGAGGAAACAAAAGGTAACTGCTCCCGATGCCTCATGTCAAGGATAGGTTAAGTTACATCAGGATATGTATGTAAGCACAAAACACACTTTTAATTTATCCCATTAACAGTTGGAAGCATTCCTAGAAAAATAGTAACAAAATATGACCTTGATCACATTCTTAGATTTTATTTAGATGTTCCAATTATTCCCCAAATGTAATAAGCTTTAACATTTGGAAAAGGCAACACTAGCATTTTAAAATATGATTATACTTAGAAAAGTCAAAATTCTTTTAAAATAAGTATGTTATGAATTAAGGAAAAAGTCGAGAAAAAAAAACAACAGCAACCATATATAGAGCTAAGATACAGGAATTATATTCACATTAGCAATAAAATTATGAACTATTTGGGAATGATCTTTAGGGTGTGAAGAACTGCTATAAAAGACAAACATTATACTTCACTGGAATATTTAAGGAGGAATTTAAAATGTAGACTATTAATTTTCTAAAGTCAGTTGCCGTAACAGTAACATCCCCCCCCCCTTACAAATTGCATCAAACCAAGTGAAAGTCTCTAAATATATTTGGGAAAACAGACTAGAAAAAAATATTAAAAGGGAACAAAAAGGAAGAAATTGAGCTCAAAGATTCAAACATACTAGTAAAGAATGGCTATAAATATAAAACTGAAGAAAATTTGCATTGTCTGTTCAGTCAATACCTATTATAAAAGACAGTGCACTTTGAAAACAAATTATTTTCCTCCTTCATATTACTTGATTTTAAATGCCTTTAAAAACATAAATACATGGCGCAACACGTTAGGACACAGCACTGCAAGCTAGCCACAGCTGCATTAATGCAATTTCGATTGCCGCCCGGAGGTGACCCACATGGTGCATCAGACCTTTCCTGACCTGCCTGCTGCTCCCCTCAGCAGTGTACATTGTTGATCTGCCTGTTCTGCTCCCCACTCTGTCTCTGGGGAATCCTCTCACTGCTTCTGCACCTCTGGCCTGTACCCCAGTTCTGTATCAATAAATAAATATTTTAAATTACAAAAATGTAATGCTAAAAAAATTAAAATATAAATACAATTGGTATGGATATAGAAGACTAAGGATTTTGTTTCTACAAATCCTTAATTATAAATCTCTTTCTCCCACCTCTTTCCCCACAAAATTTAGTTTTACATAAAAAAGGAGGTAATGTGGTAATAAACATCATCTCATGACAAACACTCCAGGGTGAGAAAGAGGAGGAGAATGCTACAGCAGATCAGAGCTAGACGGAGCTTCCCCTGCAGAGCGGCCTGTAAGTCTCCAGGCTTCCCTTGGACAGCACAACTGTCAATCTGTCAGTTTGTAGGAATTATGGGGAACAGAGGAAAATGCTAACTGATATCTCACAGAAGTAATTAGTAATATCCAGACTGGAAAGCTCTACGGAACAAATACCCAATACCTTTATCAAATTGAGGAGGAAAAGGAACAAAACAGGCAGGGAGAGTTTTTACAGATTTAAGAGCTGTCTCAACCAGCTACAGTGCTGAATTATATTTGTTTAATAAGGATCCAAATTTAAAAAAGTGTTTTTAAATTAGTCAGGGAATCTGAGTTCTGATTGGATAATGGGGAATTACTCAAGTTGATAAGTAATGTGATTTTGCTTAAAATAGTCCTTATCTTTTAATGAAACACACTGAAATACACAGCTGAATGTACACAAGAAACAATATGACACCTGAGCCTCAAAATTTTTGAGGGATTGTGAATGCAGGTAAGGAGTACAGGTGAAAAGAGGTTCACTGTGCTTTGACACTGATTCTAGGTGATATACACATGGAAATAATATTCTCCTATTTCGTCTGCTACAAAGGTTTGGCATTTTCCATAACAGTTAAACATGTTCCAATGGGAATGCCTTGGCCTAAACTTTGTACCATGGCAGTATTCAGCAGTCTACGTCCTGATTAGAAAAGATGGAATATATCAGAGCTCACAAAATGTTTCTCCTCTCTCCCTACCCACACCCCTCACTGCCAACCTCCCAGTATATTAACCACTTGCCTTTGATATACAGACATATAGACTGAACCCAACTCTGTCAAGTCTAGTTTTTAATCTTTGACTATGCTAAAGGGATTAAAAAAATTAAGATACTGAAGTATAAGGTAGAGAATCTTTGGCACAAAACTTACTGTGAGGAGGAAAGAGGGAGACGTGGCCCTGTGGGTCACTGGCCACTGCAGGTGCCCAGTGGTTGAAGGCTGTGTCTAGTGACCAGCTGTTAAATATATTGTGAGCCACATATGTAATTAAAATGTTCTATTAAACACTTAGTAAAGCAGGAAGAAATAGATCAATTTAATAATATTTTACTTAATAAAACATTAAAATAAATTTGAATGTAATTGCGACAATGTGAGTAAATATTTATGCTATTTTTTCTCTAGTCTTCAAAATTTAATGTGTATATTCTACCTGTAGCACATCTTAATTTGGGCCAGTCAAATTCCAAGTGCCTAAAAGCCATGAAACAAATGGCTATTGCATTAAATTAACAGTTCAGATTTAGACAACTGATAAGATTCAGGTTTAGTGTTTTTGGGGAAAACACTTCCTGGTTTTCTCTCTTCTTGGAATATTAGCTATCATGGATGATCTCTGCCTGGGTATATTCATTAGGAGATACAAAAAGTGATTATCAGATTCTTTTATTCCTTCTTATTCAACTTTCCCTCAACTTTCCCTCATTATTTGGTTATACTGAAATGCATTTCATATATGAAACAGTATTTTTCATACTTGGTTCCTTCTCATTTTCAAGACAGATTGTTCACTGAGAGGATACATGAGGACTTTTGAATGTTGCTTTTTTTTTTTTAAGTATATCTGGCATTTGAAATGTTTAATACATTCTACTTTTTATCTTATTTATGCTCAAATTGTCCTCCCTCTGATGTGCTTAACAATCTTTGTTTTCCTTTCATTGTGGTATAATGAAATCTTTATGGTTCATCAAATGAATTTGCTCTCCAATCTTAGAATTGGTCATTGCTCCAAGGAGGCCTAGATGCTTTTGGTAGGAGCTATTGAATCATCAATTTAGACACTAATACTTTTTTTTTAAGATTCATTTATTTATGCATACAGAACCGGGGTACATGCCAGAAGTGCAGGAGCAGTCAGAGACTTCACCAGAGACAGAGTGGGGAGCAGAACAGGCTGACTGACAAAGTACACTGCTGAGGGGAGCAGCGGGTGGGTCAGAGAGGTCTGCCAGGCCATGTCACCTCTGAGCTGGAGATCGAACTTACAGTGAAGTGGCTGCGGATTGCTTGCAATGCTGTTCCACCAGGGAGGGCCAAAGCACAGTGGTGATGATTGTAAATTTTTTTTGAAACATAAAAACATTAAGAGATCCTGATAGTAATTCTAGTGTAATTAAAATATTGCAGGATTTGTAACTTTGAATCATTGATCTTTTACTTCTAACCTTTTTCTCAAACCAGAGTCTCAGTTCCCAAAGAATTTTCCAATAAGAATGTCATTACTTACTTCATCCTGTGTTACAAGTCACCACTAGCACCCATAAAATCACTACTAAGAACGGTTTTAGTTAAGATACTTTCACAGTGATGCCCTTACCACAATGAATGCTCAGACTTTTACAGCCACTCATTGATACACCTCTTCATGCAGTTATATTACCAACTAGATGGCAGGTTTGTTTCATTTAGTTTTCAATTTTTAGAGATGCTTTTTTAAAAAAATTTGTTTTATGACTAATGTTAAATGGCCTACTGGCATATCTTTAAATCAACATTAATAAGATATAATCAGGTGTCTCATCTCTCTTCCTTTTTTCTCTTTTCTCCATCTACCCTTGAGTACTTTTTTTTTTATAAGTTTTTTGTTTATATTCAGAAAACATTAACCTTATAGTGACCATAATCATTTATTCACTTAGTGATTATTTAAGTGCCTGGTACATGCCCTGCACTTTATTGTTAGATTCTTGGCTATAACTAAAACAAACAAACAAAAAAACACATTTAGAAGTATTAGAATTTAACTGCTACAGAAGGCCTGGTTCACATTACAGCACTTTTTCAGTCAGGTCAAGGAACTCACACATGTAATGTGGCTATTCATTATTACTTTTTAATTAGAGAAAAACCATGTTTAGTAGTTTAAGAAAACTAAGCAATGCATGTTAGGTATGGATTAAAGTAAATGAGGCCTAGCCCAGGTGTGAGTCACAGTTTGCACTTGGTAAGAGTTGGTGCATAAGTAAGTTGAAGAATAAGGCCACATCATTGGGCATGACATGGAAAGGCTTGGAGGAGGCATCCTGAGAAAACTGTGGAGCATTGGATTATTTTTTAAAGATAGAATAACAAGAGTTGAAGATATAAAGGCTATAGCATGGATTTCTGGGAGAACAGAATTTAATATTTATCCTCACTACCTCCAGAGGAACATTAGCATAGTTTTATAAGAAAGTAAAGACTAGAAGTTAGCCACAGCCCAAGCAATAGCTGAAGCTAGAGAGAGATAATCTTGGAGAAAGAAAAAGTAGAAGGACTAGGACAGATGTCACAATCTTACAAAACCCACACTTAGGATTAAGGAGGGAAAAAGGAGCCAAATAAGGAGAAAGAGAAGTAGGAGTCACGGAGATAAGCAAAACATCTAAGAAACTGGAAATATCACTTAAGCTGAGGAAGAAGTCTTTGGCGGGGTGATAATCCCTTGTTGCAACGCTACAGAGATGACAGTCAAGTTACTAACCGTAGGCCTACTTCACTAGGCCATGTATCCTTACTTATGTCTGTTCCTTCATTTGAAAATCTGCCTTCCTTTATTCTCTGGCCTTTAAAAAAATGTTGATAATTTTGTTGCACCTAGAATCTTCTGCAAACGATAACTTTGTTAAGTGTTCTTAAAGTAATGAAATAATTGGGCCTGTGTGTTTGATTCTAAAAGAATAAACTAATTTTTCCAGGGCTTTGTAAAATCTCAGTGTAATCACAGAAGAGCAAGCCTCTGTATCAGCACTGAAAGCTCTGTAGCTTGTAGCTGAGCTGTCAATTTCTCGTATGGGTTAGACATGCTAATAGATGGGCTTTTTATCCCTAAATTGATGTTTTTCCCCTTCAAATCACCTTCCCCTAGACAGCAGGTGCATGAATGGTTGTGCAACTTTGGGGAGTCCCTTTAGGGAATTTCCTGTTTTTCCCTTTTACATTTCACACCCATCCCTTGCTCCCGCCGCTACCATCTGCTATATCTTTTCTCCTGTTCAGCACTGGCTTCTTCACACCCCACTCCCACGCCCTTTTCCATCTCTCTCCGTCTGTCCAACAGCCCTGTACTTAGATTGCTCCAGTGCTTGTGCATGGATCAAAGAACTTTCTCTTTTCTATCAACTCACTAAGCTCAAAGAAGAGAAAATTTGCACAGCCTTCCACCGATGCCTCTTTAAACTTCACATAAAACAGACAATATACGTGCTGATGAGTGGGGCTGTTTATTAAGCAGGGTTCTACTGTTTCGGTAGTGACAGAACTCTACTTCTCTGGACATTTTTTTTATCCATATATTAAGGTACAATCTTTACCAGGGTCTATTATAAGTTTCATTGCTATGTTTCTGTAACGGTAAGAGAAAATATACACATCTACAAGTTAAACTAAAGTTAAAGCTCGGTGCTAGAATGCCATCAACTGAATGATACACCATTTAGCCACAAAGTTGTCACTGAAATTAACTTAGAAATCCAGTACAGAAAATCTAGATAGTATAGTGAAAAGGTTTTTGTCACCTAGTACTGAGGTACCTCATTGATCTCCCTAAATGTATGCAGTATTGTGTAAACATAAATGGTAAAATGGAATCTTGAACAAGATGTAACGGGTGCGCTAATAGACTATTTGCATGATCTGAGAGACAAACTCTAAGATTAGTACGAGTCTGAGTGTCTGCTTTTAAAATCTGAGTATTTGACTCTTATCCATCCAACTGTTTTTAGATGATTTTAGTAGTCCTCTGAGCAGTTTTAGAGGAAGTTCTTTGCAGAATTATTGGCATTTACTAGCAATTTAAAATGAAAAGGCAGAACTTAGAAGTACCACCCTCCCACACCTTGTAGTTTAAAATGAGAAATCCTGTAATACTTGAAATCGGTTAATTAAGCAATGACTGGTATTCCTGCCATGGAGCCCCTCCATCATTCCAAACTACATATCATTCCAAACTACATATCCAGAGAAGTGTTGAGGCAAGAGATCTAGAATACAGATATTATTGTTACAGTGATATTTTATGTATGCTATTTAAATACACAGGCTTATTCAATGCTGATATTTGTTAACAGGACATAGAAACAGCAGAAAAGTCTCTCCAGGCCAAGATTAACCCTCTTCTACCACCGGAGGTTATTTCTCTTGAGGTGAGAATCTTAAGGAACAAATGTTAAGGAAGAGGTTATCTTTTAGTAGGGTATTGTAAGTTAATGGATGATTATATGTAATTCCCAGATTTGATCAAGAAAAAAGGATAAAAAATGTCTATAGTACCATGTTTTATAAGTAATAGGTAATTGATGTAAGTTGAAGTAAAAATTTTATGAAGATCCTTGGTCTTTTATAAGTCATTTACAGACAACCCTGTTAAACCGTAACAGACAATATGCACTAAATTTTAGAATGACAGCATGCTTAACCGAAATGTTTTTCTGTTGGCTGATAGAAGTAGCAATTAAGTCCCTTCACCAAAAATTCAACCAGTGCTCTTTAAATGCCTACTGTCCTGTGGTATAGTGTGGTTTTTGTTGGTTTTATTTTACCCAATTCAAGAACAGACTGGGAAAATGCTAATAAATATTAGCCATATCTGGTATAGGAATGCATTTGTAAGGAAAGGGACTTTACTGCAGCAGAATAGCTTGATTATGTCCTTTTTCAAATGCAGTTTTTCTTGCTGCTCATCTAGGGGTCTGAATAGACTCAGAATTGAAGGTGAGATTTGGCCCCTATTTTCTGTGTCATCTAGAGTAATAAGAAAAGGCAATGAACAAGGATAGAAAAAAATCTCTAGTGCAAAGTTTCGCCTTGTGTATATCTTTTTCTTTGTTGAATTCTCCAATCCCCTACCCTGTCCCAAGCAGGGCCTGCACAATAGGGGTTAATCCAGCCGTGAATGCTGGAAAAACTCCCAACCACAGGCCTCAGTTGGTATTTTTTTCTTAGCTAGTCTTGCACAGCAGGATGGCTCTTATTTTAAGTATGGCTGGCTATTTCTCAAATCACATGCACAATTGTATAAATAAGTAGAATCCCTTACCATTTCCAACTACAAAACCCATCAGTCTTTGTAATGCTCAGAGTGAATAATTTTGTGTTCCTAAAGCTGCCTGTTTGTCTGAAAATCCCCAAAATTATATTGATGGTGTTGATCAATGTAAAGTGTCTTCCTGTGACATGGTACTTTAATGGTTTAGTTTTCTTAGGCCTCCTTAGGGCATTCACCCAAAAAACCATCAAAGCTCAGAGACAATGTAGCTATTGCAAGAAGTCCTAAAGGTTTTGGACTACTAGAGTCAGGCCAAGTATAGGGTCTCAATTTCCAATTTATTGAATTAAAATATATTACTTTTTCAGGCTACATTAAAAATCTGGGAAGAAATTATAATTTTTAATATAAATAGATCTTCAAAAAATAAAGTGAATGCATGTTTTTTTTTGTTTTTCCATAAAATTTAAGATATCTACCTGAGCACTATCCTGTAGCATATTGTATTTCATTGACTGATCTTATCCCAGGTTAAGTCTTTTGATGTTAGTTCGAAAGCAGTTGTTCATACTTAGTCATTTGACATAATTTCAGTATGGGCAATCATTTGGTATGGAATTTGGAACAGTCAACAAGAACATTTAATAATTGTGTAGCCACAAAGTATACTACTGGTAATAATCACAAGGTCTGCCACAAGAGGGCGTGTAAAATCACAATAAAATTCTAAAACCTGTAATTCTGCCAGGGTCTGGTTTTACTGAGAAATTTGAAAATTAACACTAGTAAGTAGCCAGATTTTTTTCTAAAATTAACATAAAATATTCTGTAGAGGAAGTGCATTCCACGTATATGTGTGTGTGTGTGTATACATGCACAAACACACTTAAGTGAATAAACATTTAGACTATTATGAAGAGCCAAGTTCAATTGCTTGATATGCTTTTTTACTTTTGGATGTTGTTTTTTTTTTTCCAGACTCTTTACTGGGCATCAATAGAAGAATATATTCCCAAATGGGAACAGTTTCTTTTAGGAAGAACACCATATCCTATTGGTGCAGAGAATCAAAATGAAGCAAAAAATATTGTTCAAAATAAAGCACAGCAGTAACTTCTCATGCTATTTCAAAAAACCAGTTTTATAAAATCGGTACTTTAAGGAACACACAGGTCACTTCAGAAATTTGAGAAACTGAGTAGATTTATATTGTCTCATGACCTCACGATGACAATGAAGATAACAAGAAGCTACTGGAATGTCTCAGGGTTATCACTTAACTGGTACCTACTACCATTTCCAGGTCATGAATCTTCTTTCCACAATACCCATGGCAGTATTTGAAACTAATATTGAAAAGTGGATGGCTGGTTAAATAAATTAGGAAATGAGTGTTGTGTGTTTTTAAAAACAGTTGTTTTCTAGACATTTTATCATGGAGACAAAGCTAACAATCACATCATGCTCACTGTTACAGACTCTTTAAAAACTGGTTTATATAATCCTATTTATCAGAAAAATATGTTCACATATCTTGTGTCTTGTAAATAATCAAATCTCTAAAAATCAGTAAGAAGGCTAAACTTCAAAGCATTTTTGATAAAGAGACATTTGGGGAGGGCTCAAAACTGGTTCTGAAGCTGGATACCGATTAGAGCTGGGAATGGTTACTGCATGTTATTTATTTAAGTACTTGGTTATTTAAGTACTGCCAACCCTTTGCAAATAATTCTTTCCCTATCTTTAAACTTCCCTCCCCCTTCTGTTTTCACTTTTTCTGAAACAGCTGTCACTCAGAAAGCTTTAGGTCCCAACCATAAGTTCTTGGTGATTCCTCACTTCACCACTGCTTGAGCACATGACAATTTCTATAATTATAGAGGAATTTCCTGCTAGTAAGAGGAGTCTACACTACACTTAAAGATTTTACATTTCAGAATGGTTTGTTTTTCATTGAAGACAATAGTACAAGCCAAAAAACAAATATTGAGACATATATTATGTTGTTAAGTTCCTGTAAACTACCATCTTGGAAATATCCAATTGAGTGGGTGTTGGTGTGGATAACAATAATGTTGTTTTCATAATATGCGCTGGCAGATTAGCACACTTCTCTACAGTGTTAACAGTTGTAATTAAGGAATGAACAGCACAGAGTGTCAGTCCGATGACAATTTCATCTATCGTGTCACAATACAAAATGTCACAAAATATTAGAACTGTTATGTAACTATATAAAGTATCGGCTCAAGAACTGAATGCTTTGAAAAGAATAAGGCAGAAAGGAAGAAAAAAGGAAACTGGCATGGAGACCAGAACAATTTTATACCTTCTCAAGAATGTTCTGTCACAAAAATAAATAGATAATTTTTTTTCCCCTGTTACTTTACAGTTTGGTTCCTAGCCATCCAGTTGATTTAGCAGGAGAATGCAGGGTTTTTTAGCAGCTTTGAATTGGTAAACAGATTTAGATGTAGTAGAAAGGAACATGAGACATGAGGAAGGTTTTTTTTTTTTTTTTTTTTTTTTTAACATCCAATCTTTGCTAGCATATGCACATAAGAAGGTGAATGAAGCAATGTGAAACTTATTTCTCTTTAGTCAAGTGGAAAAAAGGCTAAACATTTGTTGAGATGGTAAAATATTGTGTCAAGCAAGTAGGCACATTCCAAAATTAAACAGTGGTTGATACGTTAAAGTCCTCAAATACTTGAGCATACACTTCTTTGGAGTTCTGTAAATTAAATCAGCAGGTTAGATTAAAATACAAAATGAAGATCAATTAAACCATCTCAGAAAAGGTTCAGATTTTTTTCCCTCCCAAACTGACTAACTTTCTAAATAGTTTTAAAAGGAGGGGCAGTTAATTCCTGGGGTGGTGTAGGCCCAAGGGGAGGTATTTGCACGTTTAAGCTATACTATCCCCCCTATTTCTAATTCCTACTTCAAAAATTCTAAGCTATACTATCCCCCCTATTTCTAATTCCTACTTCAAAAATTCTCAGAAGTGACTTTACTCCTGGCCCACAGAAAATTCCTTCTGCCCTCACCACATCATAGACTAAAACAGATTGCACCACATGGTGTATTTTTTTTTTTATTCTCATCGGGACCTAGACACCCCATTAAAGGGTTTTATATTCCTCATGGCAAATTATCTTTACATAGGAATTTCCACATACTGCTTTCTATAAGGGAGAAATACTTTATTTAATGTCTTAAAAAAAAAACCACAAATAGTAGGAAATCAAACAGGGAAACAGAAATGTCACCTACTCAAACCTTTCCCCATCAATTCAGAGCCCTTCCAGTAAGCCACATTGCCTACTATTCATGCAAATTATGAATTTATAACTTATTAGAATTGAGTTTTCCAAATAAAATGGTTACAAGAATTGTTTCCACAGCCATTCATGGACTATTACAAATGAATAAATATTCATAGCTTATTTTCTGCTGAAACACATCCAGTACATGAAATTATAAAAATATGAAATGCCAAAGATCAGAAGGAGGAGTTTTTCTTCAGTTTCAAAAAACATATCTTACTAAGTATTAAGGGGAAAGGCTAATATTCTGGAAGCCAGACATCTGGTTTTTCTTCTGTGTAGGGAGCGGTGTGAATTAAGTCAAAGGACAGTTTTTCTCTAAATACAAGGAATCTTTACTTGTCAGCTTAAGACTTAGATGAAAACAACCACCTTTAATTTTCTTTACATTTTTAATTTCTGACTTTACCCCCTTTTCCATAAAAATAGTAAGATGGATATGGGGGTATATTTATTTTTCAAGTCAACTTAATTTGTAGATATTTTGTACTGTCTGATACAATTGCAATAGAAGGGCTGCAGTGGATTTATGAGGAAGCAGGGTTTGCAATCACCAATTTTAGACCAAAGGTGAAAACTTCAAACCTCCTGAACAGAGAATTTTAGTGTGTAAATGTTAATGCACAAGGCCATGAATCCGGTTTTATCTGCAAAATATATTCCTTTCCTTCTTCTGTATTCATTTATCTTTTTACTCTAAGCTAATTCACATCTTTCACTTTATTTTTTAAAAAGTTATTCTTTTGAGATAAAATTATATACATGTGTGTATGTGTGTGTTTGTGTGTGTGTGTGTCTGTGTGTGTATATATATCAAATATCCCTAAGGGCATGTTGTCCCCTTTTAAAGAATTACCTAAACATAATAGCTATGTGGCTTAACACACTGTTTAACTTCAATAGTCTATGTTAACCTCTTCCACTTTGATTAGGATACTAAGATTTTTTTTTTTTTTTATATGTTGATGAAAACCTCTTCAGAAAGGGTAGTAACTAGGTGGTAAATTCAAACAGAATGAATGTGTGGAGCACATGGGAAAGGCAGAGAAATTACTTTGAGAAAGCTTCAGGTCAGAACAAGAATTTGTGTTTGTGTGTGTGTCTTATGATCACCTATTTGATGTCAGGGGCATACGAGATGTCGAGCAGTGACTGGAGTTCAGACGTGTGCTCTTCCGATCTACTGTTATATGTCAATTATGTCTACACTTTCAAAATGCGAGAGGATTGATTTGTGGATTGACATCTGGCATTGTGATCTCCTTTTCTAAGTGAACTGAGATTATATACTTACTAAAATCCAAGAATTAGCAAATAATTCCAACAAAGAGAGGCTAAGTCAACACTTCCGGACATGATTTAATGCTCAGATTCAAGTTTCCTTACTTACAAAAAAAAAAAAGAAAGGACTCTGTCCCCCACATTGTAGTAAATGTTTCCAAGTTCTTATTCTTGAAATTCTTCATTTCTGTCTCAAAGACAGACTGAGTCATTGGGAAAGTAGTATCTAGATGGACTACAGTACAAATCCATAACTAATAAAGAGCTGCACTGAGGAAACAGTGACATGTGCATATTCTGGGAAGTGTTTTATTTTTGAAGATAACTGGTCAATTACAATCAGGGACTTTTTAAATATTCCATCATAAATCTGATTATCCATGTAGACCTTTCCCCCCATTTTTTTCCTACAATTTACCACGGGGGAAAAATACTGTCAGGTTTCATTTCTACTTTTTGACTAGCCCACCTCTATCTTCTTTCATCTCCTAAATGTCCATCCACATTGAATGAACATTTTTCCACAACTTGTATGCAATTATTTAGAAGATCATTAACACGTAAATATATCCTTGTGCTACAATGCTCTATTCCTAGAAACAAATACTGAGATATTCCAAAGAAGCCCAATTTATAGCTTTTAAATGCAATAACCAATAAACAGAGGTACATAACATTTGAGCATCGTTTATTTGCATATTCACAGATACTTAATTACTGTGTAGCCGGCACAGTTCTAAGCCCCCAGAATACAGCAATAAACAAAAGAGCCAAAAAAACTCATGGTCTTCATAGCATTTACATTCTGGAGGGGGTTATGGGTAAAGAAAGTTGAAGGTAATAAACAAATTAAACATGATACATTAAGTGGTGTTAAGGTCTAATATTGCATGCACATCTAAAATGTCTTTTCAATACAGAAAATAAAGGAGACTTCATGTTTTCTCACAAAATTGAACAGAAAGGAAAGATGTTTTTCCTTATTGAAAGATCTTACACTGGGGATGTTCACTGAATCAATATTTCCATTACTAAATTGGTAATAAATTGTGTAAGCTGTTGGATAGCTCAATGATGAAGAATGCAAAAAGAAAATTCTCACTACTTCAACAGATATTTATACATCACTGTTTACAGCAACATTATTCACAATAGCCAAAAGACAGAAACAACTCAAATGTCTATCCTCGTTGAATGATTAAATAAAATATGGTGTACAATAAAAAGCAAGATAGCTATACTTACACCTGACAAAGCAGACAGTAAGCCAACATGACAACAAGAGATAAAGAAGTTGATATGACAAAGGGGTCACTTCATCAAGAAGCTATGGCAATAATACAGCCTGCCCGGTCTGAACCATAAAGAAACAGAAGATCTGCGTAGACTAATAACACACAAGGAGATTAATTAGTAATTTCAAACTTCTCAACATGGGAAAGCCCAAGACTGGATATCTTCACTGGTGAATTCTATCCAAAGCTTAAAGAAAAAAAGCCAAATCTCCTCAAACATTTCTAAAACATGCAAGAGGTGGGGATACTCCCCACATTTTACAAGAGCAGCTTTATTCCTAATACCAAAGTCAAATAAGAGCATACAGAAAATTAGACCAATCATGCTGATGAATTTGTATTAAGTTACAAAAATACTCACTACATTAGCAAGTCAAATCCTATAGTAAAGGAATCATTTATCATGACCAAGTAGATTTATTCCTGAGATACAAGGATGGTTCAACAACAACAAAAGTCAACCAGTATGATATATCACATTAATAAA